CATATTTTTCAAGTCATTTCAAGTGGCCTTGTAAGCTGTTCAGGCACGTCACGATAGCTCACGTCATTTCTTGCCAGACTCGCAATGTCCTGGAGATGTTGGATTTCACACAGCAGACTCAGTCCGTATTGTTTCAGGCACAAGTTATCCCTGATGTTGGACAAGCCGAGGAAGCCCCGGAGGTCGTTTGCCAAACAAGAGTTCCAAATTTTTAGTAGGGACTGGTGTGAAAGGCACCGCATGATTCGGCAATTTCCAGGACCTGTGGGATTTTCTGGCCCAAGCAGAGGGGTGCCAATCGACTTCCTCGTAGCTAGGGGCTTCTCATCATGGCGCCTGCCATGACGCCGGAGGAGCAGCTGGAAGATCTGCAGCGGAGATTCCAGCTCTTAGAGGGAGAGAGAAAGGCCACCTATGAAACCGCCAAGTTGAACATCCAGCAGAATAAGGAGAACGAAATAGAACAACCCATGTTTACAATGCACAAGACAATTTGCCGTGGTTACAGTCATGGGAATTGAATTTGGGTTGTTTATGGTTGTTTAAGGTTGGCTGTGGACAATACATATCCTTATATATTTGTATGCTGAATCACCAATCACGCCCGGAGGAGATTATTGGCCAGATGAAAGAGGAAAACAAGCAACTGAGAAATCAGATTGCTAATCTACGAGATGAGAAGCCACAGAGTTTGGAAAAAGTGCTGGATTCCACGTGTAACGAAGTTCAACAGATGCAAAGAAAGTACGACATGATCAAGAACGAGAATATGAAGAAGCGGGGCTTTTTAGATCAGCTCGGCATCAAGAAAGACGAGCTATCTATGGGCTCCAAGTTGCACTCCAATGAAACCTCTCCAGAGATGCGGCACATCCGTGTTTTAGAGAATCGACTCGACAAGGTGATGATCAAGTACAATGAGGCTCAGTCGATTCGGAAGACCTATGAGGCCATCGTGAAGCGACTCAAGGACGAAAGGATCGGCTTTGACAACCAGCTGTGTGCCATCGAACGGACGTTGAAATCCAAGGAGAGAGACTACGAGGAGCTCTTGCTACTCTCACACGATGCCTATCACGCAAAGGAAATGGCACAAGCTGAACTACATCGCTTCGAACAGGGGGTCATGGAGGAAAGGAATCAACGTGACAAAGAGGTTCAAGAGAAGAAGATCTTGGTGGAACAGCGAGTGGAGATGAACAAACGTTTAGAGTTGCGAGAAAAGAGCTTGAAGCAGCAACCTGAGGACAAGCCGCAGCCGGATCGATTGAAGGAGGCCTCTGTCGTATCAGAGTTCACAGCAGGCTACAGCACGGATGCAGCACAGGAAGAGTTGCAAAAGATACTGGACTACAAAGATGCTGTCCAGGCCATCAAGGATGCCACCGGGGTCAGTGATGCCAATGAAATCATTCAAAAGTTCTTGACCCAGGAGGACACTGGGGGTTGGTGCAAAGAGCTCATTGAGATGCCTCATGTCATTCATCATGTTCTGTTCTCAAGAGGCATGGTGTTTCGTAGTATTTCATGTGTTTGAGGTCTTCTTTTTGTCTAGCAGACGTCTCATCGCTTTGAGGACACTCAGAAGAACCTGCAGCTCTTGACCAAAGAGAACCAAGGTACCATCGACCGGCTCACCGAAGATCGGCACAAGCTTCGTCTGCAGGTGGAAGACTTGAAATTCTCCAGTGGTGGACCAGGAGCACGGCTGAGCACGGCTGAGCACGTCTGAGCACACGAGAACCAACTAGGTCAATATGTGAACCGCCCCGAAAACGAACCTTTTTCTCCTGGATGGGCATTGTATGGCCGCTAAAAGACAAGTATCACATGAAACACATGCTACTGCTCTTGTGTAGTGTGTGCGTAGTCAGCCAAGCAACATGATCTGGACAGGAGCTCCGGGTGGTCGTCGTCAGGCCATCGATGACTTTGAGTCGCACTTGGGTGAAGCCACCGAGAAATTCGAGAGGAACCGTGGGAAGTTCGAGCGCGTGGCCCGTTTGTTGATCGACATGAAAGCGGGGATTGGGCACTTGGCAGAGAAGCTTCACGTAGTGAAGTTGGATGAGACCAGCGTGGATCCAGATGAAAAGGTGGAGGTGGAGCATGTTTTGGAGCAGTGTGAGTTGAAGATCTCCAAGCTATTGAGCCTCACTGCCCCATTGGAAGAAGTGAGTGATCGTCAACGTCGACAGGATGATGAACGGTACGAGGAGAAGCTGATGCAGCGTAGTCAATCAGAGGCACGCATCAAGCTGAATGTCCAGGAGGAGGAGCATGATGACGATGATGATGACTTGGATGAAGAGCTGGATGATGAGGTTTCACATCGAAAGCAGATCAAGTACAACAGCGAACGGGTGGAGCAACAGCAGCAAATCAGGAACAAGCGGAAATCCAAAGGCAAAAAGAAAGAAGCTGCATGAGAGCTGCAAGAAGCTTTCATGAGAGATGCTTTCGCACCCTGCCTTTGAGGTGCTTCCGGGCCCTTTCAGGCGCTCTTTCAGGTACCTTAAGATGCTGAGATGTGTAGCCCTTCAGCCCCCTTCAGCCCTTCATGTTCCCACGCTTTGTTGGGCTTGACTGCCGGCCACGGCGGATTGCATGCGACATGGTCCAATACGGACGATGCTGTTGAACTGGCACGTAAAGCGTGGAAAAGAGACTCCGATTAAGGGGTTTCGGCAAGAAATTGGGGATGAAACAGGCAAAGTTGCCAAGACATGGCTGTAGCATGCTGTAGCTGTTCCGAACTTCAGAGCCAGGCGGGCGAGGATCTTCCAACCGAAGTTTTTGAGGCTGGAAACTGTCGGTTGCGTCAGGCAGTTGTCGATATCAAGTTGGACATACTTTATCCTTAATTTATCCTTAGCCTCTTTCTTTGAGTGTACACATGTTTGACGAGGATGCTGCCAATCATTTCTTGTCAGGGGACGTGAAAGGTTTTTTTTTTTGATAAACGTTAAACTGAAGTTTGGTGACCCCTGCAGCCTGCGGTAATTTGCAAGCACAAACCTGGCAGACGTCTTGACCACACTGTATGAAAGTGTGTCAGGCTAGCCTTACGGTGCTGGCCGCAGACCATTCGGAGGCCAGGCCATTTGAGAATCAATTTAGAGATCATTCCGAATCATTCCGTTCATTTTGCTAGTAGAAACAAGTGCCTTACTACTAGTAACAAGTGCATCGCTTCTAGTAACAAGTGCCTTACTAGTAGTAACAATGTTTGCTAGTAGAAACAATAAGCTACTATAGAGTCATTTTGAGATCGCACTACATGCCTTCCCGGACTAATGCCACTGGTTTGTGCCAGTTTGTGCACTCCAATAGCTGCAGACTCATTTGGTTGTGACAAATGTATCGCATACACGGTATGCTTCACCTAGGGTCTTGGAGGTGTTTTCCCTTTTTGTATTTTTTGGTTATATAGTAATATGCTAGTACTCTTTGTTTCGTGAACACTACTCACCAGTGTCAACGGACGACCTTCCATAGCGTTTGCCAGGTGCAAGCCGAGGCTTGTGGAGTGAAAGTGATGTGCAAAGAAAGGGTGTGGAGACCGAAAGACCGAACCGATTTACGACCGATTGAAAAGGATAGGCTCATAAGTCCGACAAGGTTCCTCTTGAAGTTCCCACAGCTTTGAAGTTACCACAGCTTCCCGCGCCTTCGAATTCGACATCGTTGATTGTTCGCTTGCGGTGTCCGAGTCTGATGTTCGATCGCCGCGGAACCTGCAGTCACCAACACTTGATTCGTTGAGCAACTTAGCATCTTCCGTAACAACCCCGAGCGATTTTTACCATGCCAGGCCAGTCCAGGTCCTTCACCCCAGGATGACACGCTCCTTTGATGCAGTTGAGCCACTGTCTTCGTTTGCAAAAAGGGTAGAACTCAGAGCGGCTCATAAGGGCGTCTTGACGTTGCATTCAGAACGCAATGAGATCCAATTTTTGGGCCTGAACTCTGCACACCGGCCGCCACCGGCCCGTGTGACATGTTAGTACTGTGTCATGTCCCTCGAGGTACGATGAGGCTCGGGGGCGTATTCGCCACGGATACGGCTCTGCAGTCGAACAAGCGGCGAAACGTGCTCACTCCAGTTTTGTCCCCGAGCCCCTGTGTTCGGAGGGGAAATCAATCAAATCAAATCGTGTTCAGGACGAATTCTACGAGGACTCCTTCGCATCGGAGTCGGAGAAGAGCCCCGGAGATGAGGCATCGCGAGGGTCACAAATGGAGACCAAGGACGGTGGGGAAACGAGAAAATGGCGCGAGGTGGGCATGATCATGTGACAAGAAAGAGCAAAAAAGGTGCTGAAAGCAAAAAAAGCTACTAACTAGTAACAAAGGGCATTTCTACTAGGAGCAAGGACGCTACTAGTAGCTCCTGGCCTTACTTCTAAGGACAAGAAGCTAGTAGCAAAAGATTTCTGGGTTTGTGACTCTCCCAGTCCAAAGGGCCAACAATTAGTAGCTTCCTTGCTCCTAGTAGCGATGCCCTTTGCTCCTAGTAGGGCCAACAAACTTGAGTGGAGATGTTCGAGTGACTCTCTCAAGAAGTAACCTGACATGATCAAGCTCGTCAAGCTTTGTCTCGGGGCTAAAAAAGCACTTCAGTGCAGAATGATTGGCATCATGGTTGATCAAAGATATCGAAGCGCCAGGTTTGGAAACTGTATGAAACCGTCACCAAATCTTCAAGGGTCGATGTTTCTGTTAGCTTTGAACCTCCATGTCAGGTCGGCGAAAGTGGAAGTGTTGCTGCGACGGCAGACACTTTGCTTGGATTTGGATTTGGACCAAAAGTAGAGAAGACTGGCTCAGTAGTTGCCATGTGAACTTTGTTCTTCTTGCCTGTGCATTTTGTAAGTTGCTCCTTTGAACATCCAAAATCGAACGTTAGATCCCTGGGTGGATAACCTCAAATAAACGATATGGAGTAGTGTGACTCAGGAGAGCTACGCCACACCATCAGTTGGCACAGAGGCTGCCTCAGAATCCTTGCCAGTCCGAGCCACAGCACTTTGGACCGAAAATAAATCTACATAGCAATGGCCTCCAACCTACTAGCGATGGCCTCTAACCTAAGAGGCGTGAGTCAGTCATATCGATAAACTGACACTCAATCAAGCTTTACACTTTCCCCAACCCAGCCCAACCCCTCAATCATTTCGAACCGGAATCGAGGTGAGTGCCCGTGACTCCTCGTCAACTTGAGGACAGATCGACATTTTGACTTCAACTGACTCAAGGGCACGGGTGGTGGAAGTAGAGTGATTGAACATGTCCAACAAGACAACTGAATTGAATCGAATCTTGAACCATTCAAGAGCCCTTTCTGTGCGCATCAAAATAGAGAAGTGATGAGAGAAGTCTCCATGGTTGCCGGAGGGCTAGATGCTGCACATGCTGCGACTGCCTGAGAAGAGGTGAAGTCAAAGAGTTCGAGTCTCCCAAGCCTCTAATCTGTAATTCAGAGCACTCACAGCACTCAGGTCCGGATACTTGTCCAGAGCAACCCCCGACGTTCGGCTCGCAGTGTCGGACGGCGCCGCTGCGAACACTGCCCCACACAAAGCCTTTTCCCCAAAGAAAGTTCTTTGCCAAGGGAAACATCCACATCTCCAAGCATCCCGAGCTCCTGCCCATCCTGTTGATCTTTTTTCGCTGTCCAAATCGGATATCCGACATGGGGCACGATTTATGACTGGGCTCATGATGGCTCAGAAGGGTATGGCCCTCACAGCTGTTTGTCCGATTGCAAAGCAATCATGGACAGACTTTGCCGCGCAAAACAAGCAATTTGTTGACATGTAATGGAAAGTACTGCAATGACCGGTGATGCATGTTGAATTGATACAGTGATGAAGCAGAGTGTGGAAGACCTGTCCGGTGCAGAGTGAACAGGCTCAAGGGACTCATATATCTGAAAGCGACTTTCCGCTGCAGGCAAAGGCTTCCAGCTTTCATGCCTTGGTGAATTTTGGTTTTCTTGGCAGGCGGCAGATCATCATGGCAACCTTCATGAAGATGAGTTTCTCTGGCTCCAGCCACTTGGAAAGATTCGGCCACGAAGCTGGTAGGCTGTCATAGGCTGTCACAGGCTGTGTCACAAGCTGTACAAGTAGTGCGAACCTGTTGCCAGGTTGTTCGGTTCCAACTTCCACCACCTTTGCCAACAACCAGGCAACAACAACGACAATGACAACAGCGCCGACGTCGTCCAAGTCTTAGTCTCGTGCAGTTTATAAATCACAACACCTCACGAAGGTCACAAACGTCTCCGAGACGTGAATTGGCAACTCCTCTTCATGCATCTTAAAAATGATTGGTCACTAGGTTGGAGGTCGCTATTAGGTTGGAGGCCATCGCTATTAGGTTGTTGGAGGCCTCGGTCTTTTAATGCAATGATTGGTCACGCCTCTGAATCGTCGAAGAGAAAGCATGCTTTGCAACTGTGCAGCTTGACGTCGGCGACGTGCACGACGGCGACGACGACGACGACGGCGACGTGGACGACGACGTCCACGTAGCGAAGTTGATGTTTGGCGGACGACTGCATCCAGCAGTTCATGAAGGAGGTCATCATGGCTTCAGGTGCAGATGAAGGAAGATCGGTGATAGGCCGGGTGCAAGTTTTTCAGGTATACCCTGTCACAATTTCAGGTCCGAAGATCAACGGAGCGTTTGAAGATGTTGAACAGTCTATTGTCTTTGCACATTGTGAAGCCTCTCTCTATTCTTTGGTACCCAGGCACTGACCTATCCATCCGTTTCCGAAGCCGCCACGCTCCTTGGCAAGATCAGTTGTTTATTTGCTCATATTTGCTCATATTAGCTACAGAAAACCTGAGACATGCAACGGCACTGTGGATCTTTGGAGGTTCGATTGCCAGCGGAGAGACTGGCTATTCTCTTGCAGAAGCCCGGAGCGACGGAGCGAAAGAGACAAATTGCTGTCAACCTGTCCGTACTACTAGTAACATCTAGTAACAAGGGCATCGCTACTAGGAGCAGTGTTCGCTACTAGGGGCTCCTGGCCGTACTACTAGTAACAAGAAGCTGCTATGATGGAGGTTGTGCCGTGAAGTCAGGGGCAGCGTGCTAGGCCGCCTGGAAGAATGGTGGCTCGGATGCATGTCACTGGACTGACTGTGCAAACCTCGGAGTTTGAGGACCGTTGAGAACCTTTGAGGACCTAAGGACAGTTACATGTTTGGATACAATCTTAGGCAAGAGATCCGCATGTCGAGGATTACCGTAGGATTCTGTGCGGGAGACCCTGATGTCTTGCAGTTGCCGGAGGTTTGGGAGTTCCAGCGTGTTCCAACTCAAGATTGAGGCAAAATCAGCTGTGCACTTATTTGGTCAGGCAGCGCCTGGAGCTTGAACAGGAGCTGCTGAGAAAACTAAAGTCAGGCAAGTGAATTGTTTGGCGAGCTGCAATTTTTCGGTTGGAGATGTCGGAGATGACTTGTCTTTTTCCGGACAGACTTTCTGTTGAGGTGCGTCATTCATGAAAGCTGATGAAGATAGAGGTCGTGAGAATTGTGAGAGGATCGTAGAGAACAACCAATTTGCAGCTTGTCTCAACTCATTTGGAGGGAAGTGCGCTTTGCCAACTTCGCCAGCCAAGCCCTCAGATGTTGGCGCATGTCCACAGTTTTCTTTGCATTCAAAACACGTGTGTTTTTTCTTGGTCCGACAGGTCGCGACCAAGCCGAGCGAAGTCATCCCTCCGAGGTGGATCGGTGGATCCGTTGTCCTAGCCGTACACTCCGTGATCCTAATGGAAATGGAATGAAAGGAACTTGGTCTAGAGTCGAAAGGGTAAAAAAGAGAAAGCAAATGAAAGGAAGGACGAAAGGTCTTCTTAGGAAGGAAAGACAATCCGAAGTCTGCACCAAACACGTGGTACTCGCCATAGCCCGACCTGAAAACAGGCCTCCAAAAAGGCCAAGTCAAAAGGTCAAGCGGAAGGTGGGAGCGAGTCGATCTCATTGTGTTTAGGTCAACTCAGTCGACTCACAAATTGTCCTTTTTGTAATGAATCCGCCCGCACCGAAGGTGCTGGGGCGTGTGTATCCGGATGGCATAGTCAATCGCACCATTATCGGGCAAGAAACCTGAGTTTTTGAAGGTTCTTGAACATCGAGTGCAAAAAGCATCGTAAATAACGGCATTTGATGATGGTTTTGGGACACGCAAATGTTTGAGGCGTTCTTGAACAAGTTTAAAAACGTTTGTTTTTTGCAGATTTGGTCAAAAATAGCCCGGTAGAACCGGCATAAACAAACAGCAGCGGCTCCCATGGTACGGCTCTAGCTGGCTAGGGGTTCGAATAAGCCAGGTAGAGCCGGGAGTGGGACACTGGTACAATACTACGGCCCTGCTGATACCACGGCAAACTACGAAAGAAAAACACAGCAAAATAGTTGAAAGATGTTGAAAGGCTGTAGCTGGGTTTAGCAGGTAGCTCTCCGGTGCTGGCGGACCCAGCAGCGTAGCGGCGCGAACAAAATAACAATTTTAGTCCGACGATTTTTGCGCAGTTGAGATCACCTCTCACCGTACTTGAGAAGAACCTCAAGATCATTCAATATCCATGCATTGTAGGTGACTTTTGGCAAAACCCATATTCACCGCTCACTGCAATCTCCTGCAGGTACTGTGCAATGCCAGAGAAAACCAAGGGATCTTTCGTCGCCAGACAGCAGGCAAGCGATAAAAGAGTCAAGCGAGCTTGTGATCATTTGTCTCCCGAGAGAGAAAGTGTACAAGGATCGAAATAAACGAGCTCCGAGCGAGTTTCCGACACCATGAAACAAGCTCTTGTTCGTAGCGATGCCCTTTGCTTCTTGCTCCTAGCAGCGATGCCAGGAGCCCCTAGTAGCTTCTTGTTCCTACTATAGAAACAATTGTGGAGTCTTAGAGCTTCTAAGAGCAGTGAAATCTCGAGGAAAACCCCTCATGCCTCTCACGCAGCCTACAGGTGGCGAGAAGTTCCGTGCGGGCATTGGCTTTTGCAATTTGCGTTTGCAGGTGGGAAAGATCGGAGCGTAACTTTTGTATACTTTTGTAATTTGGAAGGTGTCTTTTATATAATGCCAGTAGTTGGAATATTGATTTGTTGAACCACAGGGTGTCACATTCTTGCAGTTAGAGTTATGATGAATTTTGCCTACACATGGGCCAATACCTATGGTTGCCCCAGGTAGGTATCTGGCTTGACTCTTGATCACGAAACGCTACAACGACCATCGATTTCAAACAGAAAGACCAGAACTCAAAGCCATGAATTGGCCTTCAAAGAAAAACTAAAACCGTTGTTGCTTGATGTTCGTACATGTTTCAATATTCTATGTGCGGGATATTCTGTCATATTTGCACTTCTCACCCGGACGTCCGACTTTAATTCGTCCCAAAGTGAAGGGGCAAATGAGCTTCTTGTTCCTAGTGGCGACGCACTTGTTACTACTAGCGATGCACCTGTTACTAGTAGCTTCTTGTTCCTAGTAGCGATGCACTTGTTACTACTAGCGATGCACCTGTTACTAGTAGCTTCTTGTTTCGTGCTAGGCTTCTGCAATACTATACAATGTGTGTTCATTGTTTTTGTTGGTCGTTCCAATATAGTTTGTCCTTTGCGTTGGAATTGTGCAAACCTGGTGTTGGACTTTGATCCCACAAGAAACGAGATGATAGTTTTTCATGCTGTGCAACGCCGGCGGTTTCATGACGTGACAACACCTGTTGCCGATGCCAGGCACGGCCTCGAAGTTCCATTCGGGACGCACGAAAAGACTTGGATTGTTTGGTCGGGCTCAGAGCACAGATCAATACAAGGCGGTCACTTCGCAATTCTCAGCTCTTTTTTGATTCTGTACATTTGGCATTTGGATACCTTTGGATTCTTTCTGTCCGAAGGAACAATCAGAGGGCATGTTCAGACTGATCGGCTCAGCTGAACATGGTTGAGGTTGGTCTTCGTGACCAAGTCCTGCTTCACCACGGCCCGTTTGAGGATCGTGTGCCTTGGCAAAGTCGGAAGGAATTTCGATTCACTAGTTGGATGACCATCCAACATGAAGAATTTCTAGAGATCAGAAAGTCACTCAGAGCAATGAACTGAGTGAAACCATGTAGAACCCAAGTTGGTCGCAACTTTGCGCTGTGGATGACCATGGGGATCATCTGACCTCTACATCTTGACTGTTTCCTTGAGACTAGGTGCGGACTGCGTTGGGCTCACCAGAGGCCTGCCGGTGGTGTGGAGATAGCGACGAAGTTGTACTATATAAATGTATACGAACTTGTATATGAGCCACGGTCAAAACATGCGAAGACCACTTTAGTAAAGACGGGTAGGTTTGTGCACAAAACCCTGCAAAACGATAAGGTCCACCTCAAAACCGATAACCCCAGCGCTGTATATGATCATAAGTATGCGACGAACTCAAAACACCGTAAAACGATAAGGTCCAACTCAAAACCGATGACGTCCATTTTTTGTTGAAGAAGAATAAGGAGTTTTGACCGTCCCTCATATATTTTAGTATATTGATATACAAAAAAGAGAGTCCTTTGCATCTGCAAAAGGAAGTCCCTGCCAGCTCTACGACAAACATGGACAAACTCAGAGTCCGAAGAAAGACCTCCTTGAGGTCGCGAAAATCCGTTTCCGCTTCCAGCCTAAACCCGTTTGGCACTGCAATTCTCCAGACGTGGTCCGACAACGATGCGACGTTGGCCAGCCGGCGAATCACCTTACAGGTCGTCGGACAGTGCTGGAAATGAGGTAGCACAGACTGACCTAGACTTGCTCAGACCCGATGAACATGTCCACTGAAAGAGCATTGGAAAAGAGGAGAGGATTCTGTGGCAGCTGCACTAGGGTTATTGAGCACCGACTGAATTGAATTGATACCACAATGCACGGGATGCGGAATCGAGGAGGGAAGTCGTTCGATGCAGTTATTGGGACGTCTTCGCTCTGCCAGGTGGCAAGCAGCGGCCTGTGTCGCCAGGTGCTTTTGAGCCCCGTATGGGAACCAAGACATGATAAGGATGATTGCAGATGTTTCATGTCAATGTGCTTGGAAGAACATCGAATGCTCACAAGGTGCGAACAGAATATGGATTGGAATCATTTGCCTCAAGGCAAAACGAGGAAAACAGTCGCCCGCGGTTGACCATCGATCCATGGAGGCTGAGGAAACGGATCCTCTCATCGAGCGAACGGAGCCACCAGACCGCAGGAGCCGCTTCGCTCGTGTCAAGGGCCACATGCGCAGCAGCATGCGCTCGGGCTTCGCTTTCTGGACACAGCGGGCTTCGGCCTGGAGGGGAGCCTTGTTCCGCAGGCGGATGGAACAACTTCCTGAGCTGGAAGAGCCGCTTGCAAGAGTGAATGATTCAGTACCCGCAAGTGAAGAAGGTTTCAAAGAATGTTCTACCAAACTCTCTGTGACCTAGGCCAATTCCTATGGAGCGTGCTCCTACAATCCTCATTGACCCAGAGATTGCGGAACAACTCTTACATTATCGGACCTCATGTATGCAGCACACGGAAGATCGTGCAGAGGAGTGTGCGCAGAGGATTGCTACATGGAAGGCGCCTGCAGATGCCTGCAGCATGTTTCTCTGTATCGGTTGTTCAAAGAGCCTATATTGTATTTCACAAACCATTATATGCGATATATATATATATATAGATTGTGAAGTCGGCCAAGGATTCATTCTCTTCTCCACTTCTCTCATGCTTTGAGATCTTGAGGCACTGGTGCTTTCACAGCCAGCAGTGCAGACATTGATGATCTTCACCAGCCGCATCTTCTTCGTCGCAGATCTGGCTCTTGACTTCAAGGTTGGTGGGCAGCTTTTAGCTAGAGGAAATTCCTGCTGGGCAGCAGCTCCTTGATGACACAAATTCGGACTTTCTTGACATATTCTCAATGTTTACCGGTTCGAAGAGTGAGCTGGCGATCGTGATGTCCACGCCCAGGTTTGCTTTTTTGCGATCGCTCTGACATACTTGATCATGCTGATAGCGCTTGCCCCGAAGATGTCGCAGAAACTCCAAGAATCACTCAATCTGAACTGCTTCGTGAGCTATTTTCTTTGGATATTGGTTGGGCTGCCCTCTTTGATGATGGCTGATTTCCTCATCTTCACCAGGTTTCTCTTCCACGAGCCCATCGGCACAGAGAGCTTTCACTATGTGAAGTTGCGAGGACTCTTAGCAGAAATCTTGAATCACTTGTACTTTTTTGGTTCGAGCCATTTCAAAGGCTTTGGCAGAGTCTTGAAGTACTTTCTGGACTTCTTTTTGGCACAACAGGGCGTGATAGGATACAAAATTGTCCATCTCTTACTTCATCACTTCATGCCGGGCAACTTTTCACCTGAAAGGCAGAGGGCCTTAGTCTTGCAACCGGTGTCGAGGTCTGGTTGAAACATTGGAAGCTTCGATTCAGACAACGCTTCAGGGTTACATCGCTTTTCGCCTTTGGGATCCATGTGGTGCCTTGGACAGTCAGGTGAGACCCCAAGTAGCAATATGGTCAGAAAAAAGGAAAATACAGAAAGGAAAACAAAAAGAAAGGAAGGAAGGTCTTTAAAAAAGAAGGATGAAATAGCAATGGCCTCCAACCTAGAAACAATGGCGGCCTCTCAACCTAATGGTGATGGCATCCAACCTAAGAGCGATGGCCTCCAACCTAGACTCTTTTGATAGCCAGACTTAGCAAGGCCAGTATGTTCCTGTGGATGCTTGTGAAATGCCGATGTTTGCGCAGGGCACTCTGCTGTTGAGGTATTTTTCCAGCTGTCCATGCAGACTACATTGACCCTGAGCTCCTTGCAGTGTCTTTCTGCTTTTCGTTCAAGAACATGGTGGATCAATGGCTTTTTTTGCAGCAGTTTGCAGGGCTTCAAGCACATGGCGCCCGGGTGAAAACAGCTTTGTGCAGAAATGAACTTGATTCTGCAAAAGACGTAGTCTTCTAACACGCAGCTTGCAAAGCGCAGCGGAGAAGTCTGAAGGAAAACTAGCGATGGCCTCGAAGCCACACTTTTCAGGCTGAGAACGCTTCACGACAGGAACAAGTGCCACGCTAGTAGTAACAGGTGCCTTACTAGTAGTAACAGGTGCCTTACTAGTAGTAACAGGTGCCTTACTAGTAGTAACAAGAAGCATATCACGACATCGGAGACTCCACCCCAGCCTCGAAGCACCAGCTTGCTTCCGTGTGAGTCTCCCATGCGGCACATCACGTCGCATCACAACACAGAATATGCCCCGCGTTCCATTGCTTGTCATTTATATATTTTATACACCGTTTCATCCAAGACTGATTTGGAATTTTCCTTGAAAAACGACACGGGACGTCCTACAGAGCGGTACTCGTACCTACAGCGCCAGTGTGCTAAAAAAATATGCGGACGTCACCGCCTGTGAATGAATATGACATACTGCATGCATAATTAAGCAATATTAAACAGTTTAGGGTGAAGGCCATCGCTATTAGGAGCAAGGAAGCTACTAGGGGCTGGCCTTACTACTAGGAGCAAGAAGCTGCTACGAACAAAGAGCATCGCTACGAACGGAGCGATCGGACGGGTTGGAGGCCACTAGTAGGTTGAGAAGTGACGTGAGGTGATGTGCGGCGCTTCCTGGGCGCCATGATGCGCTTGGGCGACGGCCTGGCGCCCTCGGGGCTCTATGATGCCCTAGCAAAGCTGCGGAGCGTCACTTGTGCATTTGACCTTAGCAAGGTCTCCAAGAAGGACCAAAAAGTGAGGTCTGAAAAGAAGGTCCAAACGGTTCTAATATGTTCTAATAAGTTGAACGGCAGGAGCCGGCTCGCCCGAGCCGGCTCGCCGGCTGGCCAAAAGGTTGACATGGGTGTCATGGTTTGATGGTGTAGAAACAGATAGGACCGATTAGGACCGGGTGGAAGACGGCATTGCCGTCGCGCTGTGCACAATCGAACGGAAACCCTGAAGGAGCTTATGAGCCTGGCGAAACAGATTCGAAGGAGCAGAGTTCTGCAGTTTTTGACCTTTGAAGATGCCTCCTTTCTGCGGACTTTGTTGGAGGAAGGTGAGAATGATCTCAAGCAGTGGGTTCTACAAGTGCTTTTTAGCCGGACCTTGGAAGTAGTATACTTCAAAGGTCCTATTGACCAGGAGATCTACAAAGTCTTTCAAGAAAGAGCTGCGCTCTTTTGGTTTGAGGCCCCTTGCCTTCAACGAATCAGCTTTGAAGGAGAAGACGACTTGCAGAATGATGTGCAGAAGGAGCGACGCGGAGCGGTTGAAAGGGTGTGTTTGAAGCGGACACATTTCATGACATTTCTCTTTGTCCCAAATGGTGTGATTGGAACGTTCTTTCTTCGCTCTTTCTCGACTCCTCAACGTATAGATCCCAGTGCATCGATTCCTAAGGCTAAAGCAAGGCTTGGAACCAAGCTTATAGAAAGCTTTTCCAAGCAATTCCTTGTTGGAAGCCAGGAGCCACTGATGCAAAGCCTGCTGCAGGGCACTTGGCAAGATTTCCGTGTTGAGCTTCTGCGCGATGGCCACGGATCTTTGCATCTGAGCACAAATTGGAAGATGTTTGCTTTCTGTTTCATGTTGGAAGAGTGAAATGGATCGAATGAGCAGAAGGTAGACCCACCAGAGTCCTGGCATGAAATTTAACAATGAACTAGACTTGTAAAACATGTTATATACGTTTGTTTTACTTTTCAGTGAGGAATTCTATGGACTTCATTGGCGTCTTGAATGCTGCAGCCAGCCATCCCCATGTTACAAAGTCCTTGGGCTTGCTCCTCACGGCGCGTGCAGCGCCCGACACCCAGGGCCGGGGCGGCCGGAGTTTGTTATACGGCGCAGCGTCACACGATGCCACGGAGAACGTGGCTCTCTTGTTGTCTTTCCGTGCAGAGCCCAACCTCCAAGCGAATGATGGGGCCAGCCCTATGAGTGCAGCTGCTGGCAATGATTCATTGGAAAGTTTGCGACTTTTGTTGAAGGCGGCAGGGAATGTGAATTTGCAAAAGAGCGATGGAACCACTCCCTTATATTTGGCCGCCTATAACAACTGCAGTGCCAGCTTGCAGCTTCTCCTTGAGGAACGTGCGGATCCAGATGTGCCAAAGGATGATGGAACCAAAGCCGTGGATGTGGCCAAAGAGGACACTCTCGAAATCCTCAGATCTTTGAATGATCTCACTTGAGTCCCAGAGACTTGGAGTTCTCTAATGGATTGAGCGCTTCCACTGGGAAGGCATACGCTTCAAGTTGATGAAATCTGATCAATTCTTAAAACGACAAGGCCTCCTGGAAACCTGACACAGCCGGAGGAACCCGTGGCCAAGGCGGGAATCAGGGACGATGAGCAATACAGAAAGTGGGTGACACCTACTTCAACCAGGATTGCCATATTCTCCAGCCCAGTAGTGATGGCCTCCAACCTACTTCGACTGGAACGGCTGGTGAAAAGGGTGGAGGAGAGGTTTGAGAAAGAAGTCGATAGAGACAGCTTTCTCCTCGAGTCGATGCTCTTCGCTCCAAGTCAATCTGGCGCAATCTACGGGACCTCTGCAGAGTGCAACCTCTCTCAAAGCAACCGCCGAAGTTTCTCCCATCAAACAGAACTGCAAGGAAAACGCTTGCAGTGCTGATCGCACGTTTATTTTTGAGAACTTTGCCAAAGGCATGCTCTTTGCCCGTGAATTCTGGAGCACGATCTTGCTGACGAAGTCAGCTTCTTCAATCAAACACCGTTCGTCAATGAAAAGGTTTGCCAGGAACTTGGGTGTGTGCGCAAGTCATTGGCAAGTTTGCGCTAGTGTACAATCCTAGAAAGCAAGAACAGAGAGGAACGGCATGGAATGGGCTTGAAGTTGATGGGCCGACTTCAACTCATGAGGTCCAAAGGAGGACCTTCATCATCCGAAAGACGTCTTTTTGAGTACCCCTGGGAGATCCTGGCGGATCGACGCTGCATAACATCTAGATGTTCGAATCCAATTGATTCACTCCACTTCGATACAATTAGAAAACTATAGACTATTGACCAGGCAAACAAGATCCAATACCAAGTCTCTTTCACAACTGCCAAGTTCTTACATGATACGCCATGAAACTATGCTGGCCTCAGGTCTTAAACAACACTTCGAGATTTCAATATATCGGAATGCAAACTTTTTGTATTGAACACAAAGTAAAACATACTCTATTCAATCGCTGCAACGACTTGACCTTCCTCAGGCTTACAAGCTTCCACAGCTGGATGTTGCCTTGGCTGCCTGGCGCCGGCTGCGTGATGCCCAGCGGACCGGGCTGAAGCCAGAGCTGGGGGGCCCAGTGCACAGCCACGGTGGAAGGAAAGAAACGGGGAGGATGGCTCAGGATGGAATCACAAATGGCCCAGCTGGCACCAAACAATCTTCTTTTTGTGAAGTGGAATCACATGGTTTGGACTTTGGACTTCAAAACAACGTTGGGTTGCTATGCTTTTCTTGGTCGGTGGTGGTTGGATGGTGGTTGGGGTCCATGATGGTCTATGTTCTCTTCCTTCTGCGCAGGCTCGCCATGTTTACTTGTTATTGCTTCAAAGGTCTTCAAAGTCTTTTGGGACCCTGTACCGCTGTATGAGTTCAAGTGTGAGATGTTTGTCGAAAGGCCAAGAGACATGCTTTTCGCTCACTTTGAAGCCGTGATTCACCGTGATTCTTTTATGCTCAGACTTTTGGTGCTTGCGCACTTGTAAATCCCATAGCCAGTTGAAAGACCGAAGCATGGTGGACTTGTCTAATCTTGCAGCGCCCGTCTTCAACCTTTTTTTGCTTGACCGGGCGAGGGGTCAGATGCCTTGACTCTTACCCTGACATATTGTTGACACGGGTAGATTGGTTTGCAACATGGCCAAATCAGGAAGCTGGGCATACCATATGAGAAATAGAAATAGCTCCTACTTCCAGATACTTCCATCCTTCTTCCAATCCGCCATGCTTTTCCTACCCTTCTCGACGCCCCTCACTCCTGCTCGACTTCTCCAGCGTCGAGACCGGTTCCTGGCGGCTTCTTGGCGACCTCGGAAAAGGCACAGGCAAGGCGATGTGATTTGACGATATATAAATTAGAATCAAATGAAAATTAGAACATGTCTAATAGCGTTCTTGTTACTACTAGTAAGGCACTTGTTACTAGAAGCGATGCACTTGTTCCTAGTAGCGTGGCCCTTGCTTCTAGGCACGACAGAAGCTGAGGATGTGATCTTAGACTCAGGGGAGCAGGAGGTGGCCTACTGCGTGAATCCGGGGCGCTCCTCGGTTGCAGAGGGTTGCCCGCGAAACAAGCTGAAGCGAGTCACACGTTAGACAAGTCACTATGTCGTACTGAAGCGAGTTACATTGTTACGTACATTTTTTGCGGAGCATCAAGCCACTCAACCCACGAGCTTCATTCTCACGATGCGAGATGCGAAGGCATGGAGGCCTTCACTGGCCGAGATGCGCGTATTTGGCTATCGCCTGCTCAAGGTGTCGGAAGGGGGAGCTGATTGTGACAAGTCAGTCGTTAGACGCTCACTACTAGAGGTGGACCTGGAAGACGCCTCAGATGGACCTGGGAGCTGATTGAGGAAAATGGGATTCTTTGTGGCACCAACACACAGAGGCGCTGCATGGCGCTGTATTTCAGAGAAATGAAGGACAAGCATTGCACGAGTTTCGCAGATCTTCGGAGAAGGATGATCGTTACAATGCTTTTGCCGACAAGATGCTGCTAAGATACATGTTGATCTTGCGCGAGGCCCAATGCTATTTTAGCAGAGCTTCTGCGCCGGCGGCTTTTGTCAGGCACTATTTTGTGAACCAAGTGATGCAAAGCACCGTCTTCGCTCCTAGTTTGCTAAGCTTTTGTTTGCTCTTTTTAGGCTCTTTTGCTACGTTCGCTTTTTGTTTGCACTGAGTTACTAGGGGTCTATCAAGCCAGCCCGGCGCCACACTTTTGGCACTACTTCGAGCTTTCGCCCTTAAAGGGCTCTTCGGGAAGGAACTTGTGCCATCAAACTGCGGCCATTGCGGTGCAAACATGTGACTTGACATCACATGAAGCACCCGTTTCACACTGCCAAGGAAAAAATTTTTGGGTCCCACCTCATCCAAACCCTGTACCATCAAAATTCTTCCAAATTCCTCTGTACCTCAGTCTAAACAAACTCTTGCGCACAGCCCAACAGGGCCTTACAGCGCAATCTGGAACTACCCGCTGCAGCAATGGCAAATGTCGCTGCAACTGGCCTTTGAACCATTTGAGGTTGATGTCTTTGTTGTAAGGCACTTTGAGAAAAACACTGCCACTTTTTCTGGTAGCTTCAGATCTCATTCGCAAGGAAACCTTTGCACGCAAACACTCGAAAGTTTTCAGGCTAAATCCTCTGTCCTTGAGTCTGCCTTTGAAAACCTCAATGTGTTGAGCAGCGTCTTTCAGGCTCTTGTTTCTTCTGAAGCATCGAACAATCCCACCAACCTGCAAAGAAATGAAACAGCTTGGGGGATGGTTACTGGCAGCTGGAACGTACAGGTAGAGGTTCTTCGGCTTAGAAAACATTGACCAGTGTATTGTTCGATTCATCTCGACGTTCAGAGACACATCCAGAAAATTAACCTCGTGACTTCCCGACAAGTCAAAACTGAGAGAGGTATGCCAGGAATTTGCTAGAGACAAGATGTTGGTCTCAGCCGTCGCTAATCAGTGCTTGCTTTGTAGGCTTGGATGATTGGTTGGAGATGAAGAGCGAGAAGCGATTGAGTCACGACTCGAAGACTCCAAGGAGCTTAGACGAGGCAGGCTGTCTGCAATGTAAACACTACTAGCAAACATTGTTACTACTAGTAAACACTAGCAAACACTAGTAAGGCACTTGTTACTACTAGCGTGGCACCTGTTACTACTAG